AGTTGTTATAATAATAATATAGTGTTTTCTAATGCATGAACTAACAACATAGGAAATGTTGAAAGCATTTCCATTTTCCCGTAGGGTCGCGAATTTAAAAGAGCCTACGAACTGTGCCGCGTATCATCAGCCTTAAGACGAACGTCCGGAAAGAAATATCGTGAGATTGCTACAAGCGGTCGCGAACATCATCAGTTTACGGCACAATGACCGGCAACAATGCCCGCAAACGGCTCACAATAGCTCCGTTTACCTCACAACGGCTGAATGGTCAGCCTTTCGGTCCCTCCGTTGAAAAACTCCAAGGGAAACGGTCTGATAAGAGTGATTAATTGGTTTAAGTCGAATTCAATGAAAGGCGTCGTTAAAGCCGAGGCGCTTTTTTTTCTCGGCTCCCGGATAAGCCACTTTAAATGGGTTTAATACTTTAATTCTATTTTTGTTAGAATTCCCTTTTGTATAATTATAATGATTTTAATTTTTTATCATCTATAATGCTCAAAAGGATCTCGAGCTTTCGATGTTGTTGGAATTCATAGTCACAATGCAAATACCGCTGCCGTTAAATTGTATTGATGTAACAGCTGTCCTGCCGTTGTAAATACTCGTAACAATCCCAATAAGAACCCTATCAATAAGAGATCGCCACGGTTTAAATGATAAGACTGTGTATTCGTGTTGAGCGATATTATTCCGAGTTTTCTAGTAAACCATACTTAAGATATCCTCACATATTACTAATTAACAACTTTTGAATTGCGTATTTATCGACGAGAATACGTATTTTGAGGCCAGCGTGAGTAATTTACGTTGCGAAGTTCATGAGCTCCGGTAATCATTTAATTCCAAGACTGTGAACTTATCCGTCCATTCGAAAAAACAACGGGAATTTTAGATCAAAACTAAGGTCTGAGACAATGGTTTTAGCTAAGTAAGTGAAAATATTGCTTATACCGACGGATGATCTTGAAGTTACATTGATAGCCCCACAGTAAGCATACGGGCACCTTCTAAATAATAATTAACATACATTGAAGAATTGCACTTGTCGCTGTGCAAAAGTATAAAGACTTCGAGATATTTATCAAATATTCTTTTAAGGAAGCTACCAGTGTACCAACATGAAAAAAAACATGTACACGGCTACGTTATGTCTGTTATTAAAAAAAACTTGACGTTCATTAATAAGTTATAGCGGCCTTTGATTTAAACAAGGAAATGGTAAATGCAAAAATGTATTGAAAAATATGAACTCCAATTGTGTTCTGAGAATGAATGAAATTCATTACGTAACCTTCTATAGGTCAAAATCTACAAAATAAAGTCTCTAGTCATTCGAAAGAAATAAATTAAATAATTTTCAGCAAATAGCGTTTACAAAAAAGTAACCAACAAAAAAAAAACAATAATAAAGAATATTTTTGAATCAGTGCTTGACCTAAAAACTAGTTTTAATTCTTATTTTAAAGCAACCTTTTTTATATTATTACACGATTTGTGCGGACTATGCAAATTAAGTCTTGTCTATCAAAGAGACACAATTCAAAGTAACCCTTCTAGAATACGCTTCCGATTGAGCGGTTGACAAAACGCCGCTGAAAATACGCAAAAGCACGCTTGATTTGTGAGCGTACATGTCTCGAGTTACCCGGCAATAAATTAAACGCGTATAGAAAATGAATGCGTCAATACAGGCCGCCCTACCCTACGTGTAGTGATGTCCGCATGATTTATCGATGAATTCGGTATCACCGTATATCGTGTTCTGTTACTTGTTAGTTAGATGCACACAAGATTTAATTGACGTGCGCGCGGTGTACCTGTTACGAGGATAACAATGCGTTTACAGCCACTAGGTATTTTATTTTCAATTTATTTTGAACCTTGTTATGGTTGTAAGCAAATTGTCAAATACAATGATAGTTTTTTGATGGTGTCAAAAGACTGATTTAAGCCTATCTAGTATTAAATGCTTCTCGAAAATACGTTATGAGGATTGTTAAGTACAGATCGCGCGTTTATAATCTCGTTTGCATTGGAATAACGGTTATCCTATGATTTTAAAAGTACAAGCAAAAAATTCCAAATTTTTATAGCCTTACGATTTTATTGCACCCTGAAAGATGTTCCTAAATGTAATCTAAATGGAATTTATGTGATTATATGATTAAAATTTCTACCAGTCCCAGGCTGTCGACTCGTGGCACAGTCTCATCTATACACGGAACTTTTGACCTATTCACGATTTTAACAATAAATATTGAAATACTTTTTATTCATTACGAAACCAATGTTAGTTGTTTATTTAGTATTAATGAAGGTCTTAAGAACAGCCTTCGCACTAAATTTGATTTTCAAGTTTTTTGTCGTTTGTTTAAAGTGGCACAGGGCCGTGGATTATTGTGAAAGTTATAGTTCTATTATTGTCTCAGCTTTTACTCGGTTTCTTGTGATCTATTTTGGTCAATGCTAAACAATCTAAAACGTTATAGTAAAATGGATATTTTCTCATTTAACTTTTCGTTCGGATAGTCGATAATCCCATTCTCACGGATCGTTTGGAACCTCTGGGTCTGCGGAGGGACTTCGGTTCCCTCTGTATTTTGTACCGTATGTTCCATGGGGAATGCTCTGAGGAATTGTTCGAGATGATACCGGCATCTCGTTTTTACCATCGAACCGCCCGCCACCGGAGTAGAGTTCATCCATACTACCTGGAGCCACTGCGGTCATCCATAGTGCGTTTCCAGAGGTATTTTTTGCCACGTACCATCCGGCTATGGAATGAGCTCCCCTCCACGGTGTTTCCCGAGCGCTATGACATGTCCTTCTTCAAATGAGGCTTGTGGAGAGTATTAAACGGTAGGCAACGGCTTGGCTCTGCCCCTGGCATTGCTGAAGTCCATGGGTGACGGTAACCACTCATCATCAGGTGGACCGTATGCTCGTCTGCCTACAAGGGCAATAAAAAAAAAAACAGTCATAGGCTATGAAAATTAAATTGCGGGTGTTAAAATCAGAATTGTTTGTCTTTTTTTTTAAGCAGTTTATTTAACTTCAAGCCTCAGATTCATTCATAGCTATTTGTATTTAAGATATAGATTATCATACTATTATCTTGATCCTATTAATATATTATTATCGATATAATTTTTAGAACAGCACTGAACCGTGTCACAACCTTGATTTTTGCGGGTCGACATTGAATGGATCGCAAATTGATACAGAACGCAAGGCGCGCTTTTAGATTTGTTTAGCTCGTAATTTAAACGTATTCATATAACTGCTCGGTTGTTTTGCAATATACAACAATATAACAACTATATATGTACATATATTTGACATGCAAATCAATTTATAGGTTGTTTATTTTTTTAACAGCCATGATTGAGTTCAATTTTTATTGAATGTATTCAATTTAAGATGTAATAAGTAATAGGTTTTTTTTCTGGGTTATATTGCTATAACTAATTTAAAGTTCATCGAAAATAATGTAGGCGAAATTATATCTGTAAAAGTAGCTTTAATTATGTCAAATATTCTTAAAGTTCTGAAAAATAGTAAAATTTTAGCAACTATCGCGGTGTCGAAGTAGTAATTTCGAATCCGACATCCAGTTTTCCATTGCACGTTTACATTATCCATCTAATATAATCGACTAGGGTACCCTCTTGAAATATAATTAAAAACTATTATAGTCTTCAGTAATAAATCATCTTTTATTACACCCCTTTACGTTGCTTTAATTGATTCAATGGAGAAATGCCACCATAAAAAAGATAACAAGGCAAACAGGCTAAGTGGTGAAGAACTCGGATCATTCTTTTTATAGAAACCTGATATTCCACGTTACTTAAATAAACTAGAGGACGTCTTGCTTGTGAAACTGGCTGTTTGTGTTAATGTTTAGAATCTCGAACGTACAAGTAGCCTGCATAATAAAAAAGTTAAATAGTATTTTCTTTAGTAATTTCTTCGAGTGTTTTAGACATAATTAAAATGATTTTTACGGCTTAGAGCGTGTTTTATTGTCATTAAACATACATTATTTCCGACCTTTCCGATCATCTTACAGTTTTCGTTGTCACGAACGATTCTTATATAATGACGTCAGGAAATGCGAGATTAAACCGTAAAAGTGGTTTTAATTAAAATGGTACGTAATGTAATACGTCAATTGAAGGTACGTAAAAATTAAAAAAAGGCATAAAAACAACTAAAATGTGTTTATTTTTAAGTTTACCCATAAAATTTATTGATTTTTAATTATTCAGTCTCACAATCTGCGAAGCATAGCTTTATAATTTCACGAACAGCTTACGGATAGCGTGCTGCCATGTTTAAAAAGGCAAAATGAATGAAGAATGAGTTCAGTTGATTCGCCGACGGTCGGCTTCGAAACGCGACACAATGAACGAGGTGTCGTTGCTTTATCAATGATGAATAGGGGATCGCTATTTTCATTAAAGCAGTCATACAATGTACGGGTCCCTTTTCATACATATCATCATACAAGTTCGAATACGCTGCAAAATAACCTGTTAGTTATTCATTAAAATATTTATTGGGTGATCCTTGAATGATTCAAGTTGCTATTGGGCTATCTCTGTAATATCTGTCGTTGTGAGTGGACATTAATAAAAAAAATAAAAAAATAACGACAAGCTAAATGCTTAAATGTTACAAGATTGCGGTGAACTTGCTTTACTAGACTCACTCTTATTCTAAGTCTCTAGATTTAAAAGCAATAATTGATAAAAAGCCAATTTATTATTTCCACATTTTGTTTAGGCCTAAATGCAATACCGCGTGAAATCTGCCCACTTACAGAGTTAAGTGTCGCTCTATACGTAGAAGGTCGTAAGTGCGCGCCCGTGCTGAGCGAAAAGCATCGTAGTCGCAGAGCTTTTGTACGTGAAAAGGAAGGGAAGCATTCGGCTAACCTCCTCCCGCGTCTATCCGTCAGCGGCCTAGCGCGCTCACTCGCTTGCCGTGTTCCAAGGCGATCATACGTATCCGCGCGCTCTATATTTAAACATCGTCCGATCGCGAAAAACTTTTGTGTCGTGTATTAAAAAAAATATTAACAAGAAAATGAACTATATTTTTGGTGCCGTGATCTTTGCTCGTATGTGTCAAGACTGATCCAGCGTGGGGTACTTGAAGAGGCTAATTACGAGTCGCTAGGCTAATTGGCTGGGCCGGCGTTTCATGAAGGTGAGCCCACTTTTATTTCCGTTCGGCAATCCCTCTAATTGCGTCAATTAGTGTAATGCGGCGACAGGTTCGAAGAGTCGCTTAATGATCTCCACTCCATTGGATTTTTGTACTCTTTTAAATAACATAACAGAAAACGTTTAGCCATAGCCGTTGCTGTTTCGAAGTAATTGTCGCGGTATTTATTCATACTCCGCGCCAAAATTTGTAAAAAAAATACGTTTGTTTGTCTGTATTTCATGTTCATGTTCAATTTAAAATAGCTAATAAGTTTTCTTGATGCATATTTAATAAACCTAAATATTTACTATTAAACATGTGGAAAATCAACAAATTTAATTAAGTAACAAACGGACGTCATAGTCTTGTTGCTCTCGGACTTGTACAGTTTTCCTCATTAACGCTAATTGAACGCGTAAAACTGAAACATAGAGAAAGTAAAGATAACAAGTGTAATGGAATTTTCATTAATCGTTTTTGATGATTCTCAATGAGTTATTTATATATAAGAGTGAAAGACGAACGGGCACACACTCCTCCTTGTTCTGAGCGATTACCAGATCCAGACATCACAATGCGAATACCATATTGGGACCTAATGTAGTCTCAATTAGTTTGACTCTCAGACTCTCCCGCTCTCCCACTCTACCTAACTATTATATATTCCAGCATGTTAGAGAATGTTTTTCTCATTTGGTTTTGACATCAAAAAGAAATTTAACGATTTGTCTCAAATTATTGCGAAAAAATTGTGTTTTTAAATGTGAATATTAATTAAATTAAACTGTTATCAAACTCTTTTAAAACGAGTAGACTTACATGAAATAGTAATAGTAATATATAGTGTATATTAATCACATTAGTATATATATTATTAATCGCAAAATTATAACCTAAGTGCTCTTAAAAACAAAGACGAAACTTGATTTGACTTGCGGTGGAATATCAAAATTAAATCGGATAGCCGATCATGCAATATAATAAATATGCGTAATAAATTTTAATGTATATGCATAATTACCTCACTGCAACGGTACAGAAATAAAGCCACCTTTTAATATAACAAAAGAAAAAAAGTATCAGAGGAAACATGCTTGTCCCAAAAGCCAATTAGATTCCCATATCCGTCTTGTTTATTCTCTAATTAGCAAGTATCTCATTAGAGCTACAACTCTAGAACGTGGTACTCGATTCGTTTTAATTATAAACATTGGCTACGATGTACGAATAATTACTGTACACAGTTTAATTGACATCATTTTACTAATCGCGATGTTTTTTTTCTTGTGACATTTTCTTAATTTTTTTTTAATAGCTTCATAACAGTTAGTTTCACGCTTTTCTTTATTTATTTTTTGTTAATAATTATCTGCGTTGTTATCTTGACGTTTTGCGACTTATCAAGGCTTATAATAAATAAAGATTATAATCTACAACGTAGGAAATAGAAAAACATAGACGAATGATACAATAAGTCTGTGAATGTAATTTTATTCGACCGCCTACCGAGTCTTCCGGTGTTTCTTGATAATTATTTATTTTAAAACTAAAAAGTCAGAATTATCTTCCATAAATATATAGAGAATGGCAAAAACATTACTTTTTGTTTAGCTAGCTACCACCAGTGGAGTTAGTGACGAGTTTGAGGGGTAACAAAAAATAAAAATAACCTATGTACATTTTACTAGAAAAAATCACAATTACAAAACAAAAAAACAAACATAAAATTATGTAAAATCAAACTAAATCTTAAGGTATGTTTTAGTAATTGTGGTTGAATTACGAACACCAAGCGAACACTTGTCATATAAAATCAATGGCATATTTTGTTAATGTAGATTTTTATTGATATTTCAACTTTAATGCGTGCCCCTAATAAAGCTACTCCAATTTAATAAAATCAAATTCAATGGAATAGTATAATTAAAATTTCAATAAAGCGTATTACACATTACAATCATTATTTTCAACATGGCTCGTGGATAATGCATTTCAATTAATTAACTTTCGACTAATTAATAAACAAGCTTTAACATGGGTGTTACGAGAAATTAATCAGCTGTGATTGGTCCATCCGTTGGTCGGGACGCGCCTAAAATGATATTAGATTTCATTATGATGTTATTATTTTATGACTAATTAGCTTAATGACTGATATTTTTAATATTAAACGAAACTTTTAATTTCCTTATGCTGAGCTAACTGTCTCAATTAGAGAAGCAAAGTATTATAAAGTATTAAGTTAATTAACATGAACAATGTCTATAAGAACATCGGTAGTGTTTTGTGTAGAAAAAGCACATCGTTTGCACCGATTTTTTAAAAATCTAATCATTAAAACAGCATTCTGATAGGAATTCCAGAAAAATGATGATTCAATTACAGTTTTTCACTTATTATCGTACAGTTATTTTTTGATACCTACAATTCATGGGGTAATTTTGTCTCAATAAATTGGCCCTTTTCAGTAAACGAAAGAAATATCGTCATGATATTGATTGGAATTAAGACTACATACTTAATTTCTTTAAATAATGAAAAATATAATTGACGCACGCAATTGTTATGTAAAATTTTTTAACATACTGTTTTAATTAATTTGATATCGGCATTCTGACTCACATTTCCACGTGTAAGCGTTTGTAAGACTTTTTTTTTGTTTCGATTAAAACTAATTAAAAGTGACATGTGCGTGAACCGCGGAGGGTTGCCAAGTTGTCGTTAGGAACTGCACGCAGTACCGAGGAATAATTATTGATATGCAGCACTATTATCTTCAAGCAAATAAATTTAATCTATAACATTCCACGGTTATCGCACTGTTAAAATAAGTTATTTTTCTAGATTTTCTTTGTATTACATAGTATTTCTTAATTAAAAAGTATATATGCAATAATAAAATTTAAAAGCGACCTACATAAAATTGACAAGACCTAATTGAATTCTGTTACGCATTGGTCGATGGTTGTATCAATGCCTCGCTATATTAGTCTAAGTAAATATTAAGTTAAATTGACATAAAATGGAAATACGATTTTAACATTGTACTCAAATTTAATAAAAGGGATAAAAAGCCAAGATGACGAAATCCCTAGTGATAGTCGGATTAGGTATCGCAACAACTAAAAATGATGGAAATACTGTAAACTGTATTCACCAAAAATGTATGATCTTCAGTAACAAGGAAAAGATTAAGAATCAAAATTTTAGCTGTCGTCTTGACAACCCTATTGGGAAATAAACAAAAAATTGCAACAAACCATTTCATGATCTTTATCCGTGTCTAACAGTTTTCACGGAACAGATTGCTCTGTGTGCTTACTTCGACTTCAAATCTCAAGATACTGTTCATTTTGTAATGTCTATGGGATTTGATGAATGAATGAATGAATGAATGAATGAATGAATGATGAATGAATGAACCGGTCGCACTGGAAATCTATTGGAGAGGCCTATGTTCAGCAGTGGACGGCGATAGGCTGAAATGATGATGATGATGATGATGGGATTTGATAACCATTTAACACTAGATGGGCCGTGAGCTTGTTCACTTGTCAATGAAATACCATACTATACCTGGAGCCACTGCGGTCATCCACAGTGCGTTTCCAGAGGTCTTTTTTGCCATGTACCATCCGGCTATGGAATGAACTCCCCTCCACGGTGTTTCCCAAGCGCTAAGACATGTCCTTCTTCAAACGAGGCTTGTGGAGAGTATTAAGCGGTAGGCAGCGGCTTGGCTCTGCCCCTGGCATTGCTGAGGTCCATGGGCGACGGTAACCACTCACCATCAGGTGGGCCGTATGCTCGTCTGCCTACAAGGGCAAAAAAAAATACCAATCTATTGTCCTCTAAAATATATATCATAACTGATTTATGTCTCGTATGGGAATTGTTGTTGCGTAATTACTGTACTTGCTAAACAAGAGGATGGTAGCCCTGCCTTACGAAGGTCATCAGTAATTAGCTTGTTGGCGAGGCTTATGTTTTTCAGCGGCCGTGCGCTGCGGTGCTTCCTCTCCTTGCTTATTTAATTAGGGCCGCACTGTCTCGTGTAGAACTTCATTAGCATTTTGTGGTACACCCGCTGCTAGAGTGAACGTTAATTATCGTAATTGTATTGGTTATCTTGAAACCAATATTTCGAACTTAATGTAGCATATTTAAGGACTTTTTGAGGCATCCGTAACTTAATAGATAATACGCTCGGTTGACTGAGTTGACTCGTATCGAATGCGGGTCCTATGTCTAGGTTTGAATTCTACGGCAGGCATATTCCAATTTTTCTGAGTAACTGTTGTTTAATTTTTATAATTAAATTGTATTTTTTCAATTTTCATACCTCACAATATCGTCAAGGCTCTACAATGTATTTTGCGATAATACAATGGTTTGTAGATATATCAATATTAATAGTTATACTCGTATAGGTCACGTTATAAAGTAGTTATAAGACTTAAGTAACAATTTAAAATTATTTTACAATATTAGCAAGGTTTGAGTTTTTTTATTTAGTTCGAGGTCCCGAAATTTGGCGTAATGTACCCAGAGAAATAGAAAACAAACGTTTAAGTATAGTTCCATTACAGGATTGTTAATTATTTTATTTCTCAGATGGACGATTGAGTTCACGGCCTTCCTGGTGTTATATCATTCCCATAACCAATAGACATCAAAAACGTAAATGGCCGCCATCCAACTTGAGACATGAGTACGAAGTCTCAGTTTTATAGTACAACGGCTGCCCCATCCTCCAAACCGAAACGCATTACTGCTTCACGACAACAATGACCAGGGTGGTTGTATCCGCCCGTGCAAGCTTACAACACGCCCTACCATCAGTGATTGCGCAAATTATAATTTCTGCGGATTTAATTTATATCAAACGATGTTATTCCTTCATCGTGGAAGTCCTTCACGAATATTTGTTACGTACGTTTTTATTAGAAAAATTGATACCGGCCAGCGGGATTCGAACACCGGCACAGTTGCATCGCTCG